AGCATATGTTATTTCACGATTTAGCTGCACATCTAAAATAACTGTCATGATGTTTGTTGAGTAAAGAGGCTATTAAAAAAGGCTTTTTAATAGAATACAACATCACAGTAGGGGTGGCTACCAGTGGATATGAAGGAGGGCCAAGCAGAGCAAAGACAAGTATGAAGAGACCCATGGCAGATGGCTTCTTTTGGTACMCAAGACAGCATGGCTGTGAAGTGACCAAACTGCAAAAGGTRCTCCAAGATAAAAACACCACATGAGCATGTAATAATATTAAAAATGAGATATCTAACAAAGCCCCAACTCCAACATGAAAACATCTACTACCTCACCTCTGAGACAAACGTACGYAGTTTCAGAACAGGTACCAGAATTTGGAATTCTGACTGGGAACATCAAACATGTCAACCCCTTTGGACATCTACCTGCATGACTCTTGGAAAAACTTATTAGTATTATTTTTTGTTTAAAAAAACACCTCCTGAATGTACACTGACCATATTGCTAATAGCAGATAGTCTGGTTTCTGGGTACAGCAGTTAGCAACTTATTTTCTAAACTGAAACTAGGACATATTCTGGACATATTTTAGCGGTGATGTCATTCCCAAAACCCAAGTTGCATCTTCCCAGGTAAATGGAAGGCAGCCTAAATAAAGTATATTTGCCCCGAAGGTTGAAAGTTCTGCTTGTTGGAGGTAGAGGGCTTGAGCTTTTGGATGTGGCTGCCCCTCCCTGCCTCCTCCAGCTGGGGGTCTCGGGAGACGTGATCTCGAAGGACACGGAAACCTCAGTCCTGTGTAATTCTTTGTGACAAGCCAGTTCACGTTTGCACTTGCCCCATGAACTGAGCTGTCACTGTGAAATTTTGTGTTGCAGTGAACATGTTTAGAAATAAAAAAAAAAAAAAACCAGAAAACAGCAGGAAGGAATTTCCACTGCTGCTTGAGCGTGGCACAAGGCCAACTGATTTCTCAGTTTCCCCTCCATCATTCTTGCTTCGGGCAAGGCCTGTGTGAGGTTAGCGCTCTAATGTAGAGAGCTATTGATAGCATCACAGGGGTGGCTTCCTCCTCTTGTCTCTTCCCTCCTTCTTCCCCATCGCCGTCCCGTCTCGCTSTACATTCCCCGGCATTTTCTCGCGCGCTGTTGTGTTTTACACAAACAAAYATTCCAAAGCGCTCAGGGGAAGTCTGGGCAGACTTGAAAGTGGAAATGCTAAAAATGGTCAAAAATGAATGCATGGTGTGAGAGGGAAATATGCAKAGTTTTGTTCTGTAACCCAGCAGTGATCATAAGAGGCACTAAAGTGCTGTGGAGGCTCGGAACCGCTCCCCTTGAAATGAATATGAGCCAGAGAAAGCTCCAAATATTTCCAGTCTCCCAGAATAATGCAGTGACTCATAACTATCACCTTTCTTCTATGAACCGAAGTGAATATCAGATACAAAGCACCCAGCAATGCTTCACCCACTCAACTTTTATTTATATTACATACTTGGCAGAATCCCAGTGAAATACTTTTTTTGGCCCAGTCTTATACCGAGTCATAATACAGCTTTATTGGCGGAATCTCATTTGATCTTCTGTCGTGTTTCACGCCTTAAATGTCATTTTGTGATCAAACTTGTCAAACTGTATTTGATTATGAGTACTTTAAAATCTAAAAGAAATCTAAATGTTCACATAAAAGCAAAACAAGATTGCTGATGCTTTTTTGTTGCAAAATACTCATACAGAGATAAATTTTTATGTTTCTAGACTGAAAAGTGTTCAGAGAAGTGTAGAAGACAAGAAAATGCACTTTTGTAGCATAAACAGATTTTGTGTTTGATTGGCAGTAAATGTCCTGATGCATCTCAGTAATCCAGGTAAAAAATCAAAAAGAAAAAAATTGTGTAGGTCTTCTGGACGGGTTCTTCTCTAATGAAACGTTTCGTCTCTTCTCCAAGAGACTTCTTCAGTCTGAGAGTTTCAGGCAAAATTCAGGCTTTTAAGCCTGAAACCTTTGAAAATTTTGCCTGAAACTCTCAGACTGAAGAAGTCTCTTGGAGAAGAGACGAAACGTTTCATTAGAGAAGAACCTGTCCAGAAGACCTACACAATTTTTTTCTTTTTGATTTTTTACCTGGATTACTGAGATGCATCAGGACATTTAGGTTGCAACTTAAATATTTAACTTGCTAGCTAAATATTTAAGTTGCAACCTAAATG